TGCTGGAAATAAGTAGAAAAAATGCTCAACAACAACAGCAACAAAGCTGCAATATCGAGCTCTTGTTAGGCGATTTATGTGCAACTGACTGCCACCAATAATAACAATAATAATAGTAAATCCTTTGAGATAGTTTTCAAAATGGTTTCCTAATGCAGCGCCCAACACTTTGCCACGTTCTCATTGAGCCGGAAATGTGCAGAAAACGTTAAGAATTGTATTGTGCAATGGCCAAATGTGACCGTGTCCAGCGAATTATTGAACCGAAGCTGGGTTGCAGCTCTTCGCCCTTTTTGGTTTACAATTGCAAACAACAACAACAACAAAAACAAGGAGCAGCTTCGCATCGGTTATGGAAGCTGGACTCACTTGTCACTGCCAGCAGTTACTGCCCACAAGCTTATTGTGCGATAAACAAGTCTAATGATGAAAAATGGCAAAGTGCAGTGCAAAAATATGTCAAGCAGTCACATAAATAAATATACATACATACTTGTACATGGATACATAGATACGTATATGTCTCAGTGAACCGGTAAAGTTCACAAAACTCTATTTGGCTTATTTATCATGCAGACATTCATTGTTGAAGAATTTCAACTCACACCCACCTACAAACATCCATGCATGTAAAACACGAACACAAACTGTAATCTATTTAATAACCACATGACATCCCTCACAATGACAACGGTGCAAAAGCTATAGCTTCAACAGCACGCTGACTGACTGTCTATTTATGCACCTTCGTATACGTATTAACAGTGGACGCTCAAGAAGAGTGAATTTCATTACAAAAATCACGAAATTTTAAATAAATGTTCGTGTATTAAGTGGAATAAGTTACATGTATATACTATACTATATACTTGTATGCATACCTACATATATGCATATTCAATTGCGTCATTCAGCTCGACAATATTAGTTTCGTATTAGTTTTCGAATTTATTCGAAAACTGCCAGAAATTTAAGCGTTGCTTATACTTATTGCAAAAAATAATTTTAAATAATATTACCGAATATTTAACTTATATGTATATTACATTTTAATCGATATTGTGATTTCTTACATAGTCAGATCATGTTGCGTATGGTATTTTAGTGCTTAAATCTAAAGACTTTCTTAATTAAGCACTCCTTACTTGGAAGAAAACTTGTGGTGAATATGCAAATTTGTTAAATCAATTAAAAAATAAATAATAATAATAGTAATAATAATAATAATAATAATAATAAATAAATAAATAACCTAAGAACGTTTTGAGATAGACTAGCTACTTTAATTTTTTGTTTAATTCTTTATTCTTTATTTAAGATCTGTCCTAAGCAGGACAATTATTAAATTTTATAGTAGCATTGGATTTGTTCAATCATGCGTTATATGATGATGGTTGTGACGTGATTAAGCTATATCGCTGAGTTTTTATATTAAAGCTTCCAAAAAATGTGCTCTTTATAAAGTTAATTTCGGATTTTCTGTGGCATTTAATCATAACATACAAGTAGACTGATTTACTTATTTATTTTAAACAATTTTAAAGAATGAGAACTGATCATTTAAGATACTCTTACTCTCATGCATTTCAAATGTCAATGTACATTTGCTTATATTATGGTCTCTACTGTCCTCTTCTGGATATCCCAACATCATTTTAACACATTGACAAACTATAGCATGGGAAGCAGCGACAATGGTCAACTAAGCCACGAACCGCAGCCACTCACGCCAAAAGCAACAACAGCACAAGCCACAAAAATAAATTATTCAATGCCCGATGCACGCTTCAATGCATCAACGTAACCAAGAGCAAAATGATGGAAGGGGGAGTTAATGGGATGGATAGCACGTAACATCTAGTAATATACTCATCTATCTGCTGCCCCTGCACTGAAACTACATGCAAAAATGCGCATATATAACTCTCTATAAAATTCTATAAAATGTGTGCTACACTTTTTTGGTTCGCTTTTGGTTTTAACCAACTTGTCGCCTTTATGTATGTGTACATACATATGTACATACATTCATTCATATATATGTGTGTTGTTGCCGGCATACAATTGTGTGACTGTGTGCGTGCTTATTATAACAATCATACTAACTCAATTATACGCATACATATGTAAGAGCGGACACATGTTGATGATGATGACGGTAACGCCAGGCCACAGGACATCATGGCGTATGTGCAACTTCCTGATGATAAGCAAAGCCAAGTGGTTAACCACACGAACATGCAGCCTAACGCAATCCCCGACACGCACCCTCACACCAACATTCACACATTGAAAGACAGACACACAATGCCCAAGGCTTACAAATGCGAAGGGATGTAGTTTCAATGAAAATTGACTCTTGCATTTTTGGGTATTTGCCCTATGATTAAAATCATAAAAATGAAGGTGCTGCGGTCAACCTACGATATGAGTAGAGTGACCAACTGAATCTTTTTCTACCCTGTATTCAAAGGGTAAAAGGGTATACTAGTTACCCTATATGGGTTTGGTTTGTGAAAAATAAAAATTTAACAGGAATGAGAAAGCATCTAGCATATCCATTTATCCGCCCGCCTGTCTGGATGAACACCTGGATTTCGGAGACGGTTGAACCCACATTTACCAAACTTGATATGTAGACTATTAATCTCCAGACAACGCGATTTTAATTTATAATAATTTTTCCCGCGCTACCGTATTTGCCAGTACTGTCCACAAATGTCACTTCGCCTTCATAAAGTAAACTTTGCATACGCCATTAGTTTATAGACCTCATTTTTTTAAATCGGTAAACTAAAAAAATATTTATTTTTTTATTTCTACTAAGCGCTCTGAGAACAACGCATATAACACAGTGGCGGGAATTTGTTTTCGGATAGTTAGTGTTTGTGCTTTACACTAGAGTCTATCCAATAGCAAAATGCTAAAATTAATTAATTGAAGAAACCGGATTAATTGGAAACCACTAGCCAATGTTATGCACCAAAATTATCGAAAAAAAAAACATTACTTATAACTTCGAGATAAGGCTTATTCACGTTTGATCGCCGTAATTTACACTTAAGAATGGGTTTTGCATTTAAAAAATACATTTAGTTGGTCACCCTACGCTATCATATAATCTTTTATGGCAATGCCAGACAATTGCGGTTTATGAAGCCAACAATCAACGGAATGTTTGAAGTGCAAAAAATAGGAAAACGAAAACATGCCACATAAAATAAACCCTTTAACCCCTTAACCCTAGGGGCCTGATCACAGCTGCGCTTTACTCTAAATGTAAACAAAACGTGTGTGTATACATATGTACGTGTATGTGTGTGTGTTACTTTCATCGTGCAACGCCGTAGGTGCAAACACGTAGAAAAAAAAAACAAACACACAAACACATAGCTATATAAATAAAGGCAACAATAATAGAAATTCCAAATGTAGAAGTAGAAGTGCAAAACCTAAAGGGGCAAGCCCAACTGCTGCTCCTCAACAGATTCGGGTTACGACTTGGCATAAACATAGCCAAATGGAACGTGCCAAATTGGTAATACCCTCGCCAGGTCGCACAACTTACAAGTTCAGGTATACAAGAATTTTACAGCATTTTACGACGTTCACAAACAATTATTTTCATTTATTTTGTTGATATTTTCATATCCATATATTTTGAATAATTGTTTAATAATTTAGAATTCGTTAAGTTTCTTTAAAATACATAGAAGTATGCTGACCTCCTAACCTTGGTAGAAAACGTAATTTTCGTCAGTATACATTATTAAATTTACATTATTTTATTAACCCTAAATGGAATACTTCCTATAAGTGTAATCGGTTTTCTCAAAAACCAAATTGAAACTACAAGTTACATACAAGTACTTCTTCAGTAGAATTCTTCAGCGGTTCCCAGTTGTCCAACTATTAAGACAGGCTTTCTAAACTTGATGCTACCATAAAATAGTTACAAAATATGTATAAATAAGTAACATTTTTGAAATTTAGACGAATTTGAAGGACGGAAAGGTTGATCGCAAGCCGAAGAGCTCTTTAGAAAAATCAAATCAAAATGAAATGAATGATTACCCTTTCAGCTTATTCACTCAAAATGTAGAAAAACATAATGCATGCGAATGTATTGGAAACTTATGAAGCGTATAAAAGCCAAACTCTTCCTTTGCAACTGAAAAGCCCAACAATCAGGATGTGCAGCGCATGTTTTGGCAAGGAAACCACGTCGTGAAGTAATGTTCAACTTGACGATGGCTTTCAATTTCTCAGCTCACATTGTGCATTTATTTCTTTTCTCCTTCATGCAGTTATACATATTATTTGTTTTCTTACCTTCTCGCAACGCGGTCTTTGTTGCATTGTGTAGTACGTCCAAAGATTTATTATGTGCTTCACTGATGCACTTATTAAATCAAGATATCACGACAACAAACATTACAGCGAATTACGTTTCAATGGAAACGAGCTAAAAAGTTATATTCGTCTGCGCATTAGAGTCTTCCTTAATATAAGGATATTTTCTCCATAAACTCCCAAAGGATATCCTTTGATGTCTATATTACCAAATCGTTGAATAGAAATCATTTGTTTACTTATTCCACTTATGATGCAATTGCATTAGATATGACATCTGATTTTTTAATAAGTACCTTTGGTTCTTGCAGTTAGGAAAATATTGGGTCGTATGTACACGTATGTATGTATGTACACATGTCGCCCACTGTATGTAGTTTATGAGAGTTAATGTATATTCATATTTATAGAGTATTCATATATGTACATATATATTAATGCACATATGTACATATATAAATATGCCACATTTCCTTCTGGGTGTTACGCCTAACCAATATAGTATATCCTCGTACTGGGTAAACACAATTACGGTCGATGTCACAAAGTGCCGTTATGTGGCGTGCAAAGTTGCCTTTGCTTTTGTCGTTTTTCTTATTAATATTAAGTCGAAGCACTATATAACAATACCAAATTCCCGAAAAAAAAACACATAACTAAACAATATTTAAACATTTGCCATTATTCGCAACTACTTTATATTAAAAACAAATAATATTAACCGCGCAAAGAAACTAAGACGGACCGATTGCAAGTGTGTACACACCCCACGTGACTGATCTTAAGAAGGAGACTAGCCTGTTGAATGTACACACTTACAATATATTTTGAAATTCATCAATGTTGAGCTTGTTCAATTTGCAGTTAATGATTGTGGAAACTTTCACGGTCGAAATGCTATAGGGTCAACTATAAACGTGCTTTAATTTTAATTACATATTCAATTAGTAAAAAATGGAAACTGACACCGGCATGGCAACGCTTCAATGGCCAAGTCAACGACATAAAAGAGAGCTGGCGAGCAGCGGGCCCACTCAGTTCGTATTAAATTCTTTGAGAAAACAAACAGAATGGTCTCAAATGGTACTAAAAGCGCTTCCCTCAATAGATATAGTTATCCTTTTGCTGAGCTCGTGGATGAACGCACACAGTCGTGGCCACTGGTGGCATCACCTAGGAATGCGGCGGCTTTACTGACCCTATACTTACTCATGGTTCGCTACGCTCCCAAATGGATGGCCAGGTGTGTAAAATTATAAACATGAAAGACTAACAAAACTTTATACTAAACAAGTCTTACTGCAGACACAAGCCTCTACAGTTGAGATTGCCTATTTTCTTTTATAATTTGGCAATGACACTGCTGAACGCACACATTTGGTTGGAACTCTATATTTCGGCGCGTGCTCTGAAGTACAATATTTCATGCCAACCATGTCGAGTCAGCTACGATCCATATGAATTGCGCGTAAGTGCCTAACATAATTTGTGCTTAAATAATTACATAATTTTAAGTTTAATTGGGGTGTTAACAAAATATTTATTTATTTATCAATGTTTCAGGTATATACATTTTGTTATAAAAATACATTGATATATGGATTTTTTAATAATACAACACCTTAAGTCTCTTCCGATTTGTTTTTTCAGATGGCCGCCGCATTTTGGTGGTTCTATATTTCCAAGTTGCTGGAGTTTTCCGATACTTTGTTCTTCATTTTGCGCAAGAAGTGGTCCCAATTGAGTTTCCTTCATGTTTATCATCACAGCACCATGTTTGTTCTTTGCTGGATCATTGTTAAGTGGATACCCACAGGATCAAGTAAGTTAAATCCTGCGTGTGACTAGTTTTGTTTCGTTAATATGCAAACTCTTCGACAGCTTTTGTTCCGGCCATAATGAACTCATTCGTTCACATTATTATGTACAGTTATTACGCACTAAGTACATTGGGCCCTCGCATTCAGCCGTTCCTTTGGTGGAAACGTTATCTGACCGCTCTGCAGTTACTACAATTTATTATTGGCCTCCTTTGGTGCGTACATGCCGTTCTGCAACGATGCGAATACCAACCTTGGCTGAGCTACACCAGCGTTGTATATATGATATCTTTTTTGTACCTCTTTGGGCGCTTTTATTCGCAGAAATATACAAAAGCGGCAGTTAAATGTGAATAATACCCAAGCTATCATGCACAAATGTCGAATTTTCAAGTGGAATAAAAAAATCATACAATTCAAACCGTAATTTTCAACGCGTTTTACTTTTTTTGAATAGGACAGCTGTAAATAATCATGAGTGTCCTTAATATTATTTGTGCAAGAATTAATGGTGTCACATATTGCACTCAAATTATTATTAAAACTATTTTATTATTATAAAGTGCTTACTGAGTTTTGGAATGTAATTCAAATTTCGATAAGCCGGTTCAATTTGATCAACGACAGCTACAATACTGAGCATCAGCTGTTTGTGTTTTGTTATTTGTCAGAAAACAGTGTGTACACACTCACACTGAAGATTTTTAGTTCCGTTTTGTCTTTCTCACATAACAATGCAAAAAGTTAAAGTGTTTTCACGCAAATTACTCAAACACAAATACCTCTGCCACCGAATCCATCAATATGCAATACCTGCGCTCCATTACACTACAGCTAGTAGTAAGTACGCTTAAACTTTCATTGATAAAGAAGCCACTGAAATTTGTACTCTTGCAGAGACGGATGCCGATTTGTCACCGATGTCACTAGCACCTGGCTATCAGCCTCAGCAGGTAGAACAGGCATACTGGGAGCGTGAGAAGAAGCAGAAAAACCTGCCCAATGACGGCGCCAGATGCAAGCGTGGCTCGTTTCGCATGCTGCTACCGCCACCCAATGTTACTGGAAGTCTGCATTTGGGGCACGCATTAAATGCAACTATTCAAGATGTGATAGCGCGACAGCATCGTCAACTTGGTTACCAAGTGGAATGGGTACCTGGCACCGACCATGCCGGCATAGCCACTCAGGTGGTGGTAGAACGCACATTGGCCACTGCTAAAGGTAAAACGCGACAGGAGCTCGGACGCAATGCCTTTCTCAACGAGGTGTGGAAATGGAAGGAGGAGAAGGGCGCTGGCATTTCGGAGGACTTGCGTAAACTTGGCTGCTCGCTGGACTGGCAGCGGCAATACTTTACAATGGATCAGAACCACGCAAATGCAGTGAATGTAGCCTTTGAAAAACTGTTTGACGAACATCTGATAGAGCGTCGCAATTCATTGGTGAATTGGTCATGCGCCTTGCTATCTGCGATATCGGACATTGAAGTTGAATCGCTAGATATTAAGGAGCCCATGGAGATTGCAGTGCCAGGATACACACAAAACGTGCTCTTTGGGCGTATTTTTGATTTTGCTTACCGCATTGTTGATAGTGAGCCACAAGCGGACGGTACCCCAGAAGAGATTGTGGTGTCCACCACACGACCTGAAACTATTCTCGGTGATGTGGCAGTGGCTGTTCATCCGCAGGATCCTCGTTACATAAAGTACCGCAACAAACCAGATGTTAAACTGCAACATCCATTCCGCGAGGACACTATTCCGCTTATTTTCGATCTGGCCGTTGACAAAGAGTTCGGAACGGGTGCTGTAAAGATCACACCGGCTCATGACAAATTCGATTTTGAGTTGGCATCCCGTCACAAACTCGATCCTATCCAGGTTTTCAATAGCAGTGGCCACATTCTAGACACATACACGGAATTTAAGGGAAAGCCGCGCTTCGAAGCACGCGATCTCATTGTTGATCGTCTGGATGCCCTAGAATTGTTACGCAGCGTGCGGTCCCATAGCATGCAATTACCGTTTTGCTCTCGTTCCAAGGATGTCGTGGAGTATATGATTGTGCCGCAATGGTTTCTTAAGTGCAAAGACATGGCAGAGGCGGCCCTCTCTGAATTACACAGTGGTCGACTGCAGATAATGCCACCAAACTTTGAACTGGATTGGGACCGTTGGCTACAGAATAGTCGCGATTGGTGCATTTCGCGTCAGCTTTGGTGGGGCCACCAAGTGCCCGCCTACGAGGCTCGCGATGCCAACGGCAATAGTTGCTGGGTGGCTGCAATAAACGAGCAACGGGCCCGGGAAAAGGCAAATGTTCGTTTAGGTACCACCGATCTGACACTGACACGCGATCCCGATGTGCTGGATACTTGGTTTTCCTCGTCGTTGTTACCATTCTCAGTAGCCGGATGGCCGCAAGAAAACTTTCGTGATAAATATCCATTGGATCTGATGCAGACAGGCCATGACATTCTTTTCTTCTGGGTAGCACGCATGATGATGATGGGTCTAAAGCTTACCGGCGAGGCACCCTTTCAACGCATTCTGCTCAATGGCATAGTTTGCGATGCGCAAGGCAGGAAAATGTCAAAGAGTTTGGGTAACGTTGTAACACCACAGCAAGTGGTACAAGGTGCTAGCTTGGAGGTGAGTTCGTACCTACTTTTTAATTATATAATCTTATTATCTTATCCGCTAGAGTCTAAAAGGGGAACTGCAAAAATCCCGGAATGCGGGCATCATAAAGGAAGATGAGCTGATTACCTCAAGTGCCGGTATGAGCAAAATGTTTCCGCAGGGAATTCAGGAATGTGGCACTGATGCATTGCGCTTTACTCTGCTTAGTCACAATATTAAGCACCATTTCATTAATTTTGATGTATCCACATGTCATACGAACAAACTGTTCCTCAACAAGATCTGGCAAGCAACGCGTTTTACGCTGGCCGCTGCTAAAAGCTTGGGCATAGCTCTTCAAGAAATCGAGACAATGAATAGTGCCACGCTAAGCATGTGGGATCGCTGGATAATTGGACGTTTAGCTGAAACACTGACCATATGCTCCGATTGCTACAACAACTACAACTTCCATATGGCAACCGCGGCCTTGAAGCACTTCTTTTATCAGAACCTATGTGATGTTTATATAGTAAGTTGAGCTTATGCAATGTTTATATGTTTACCGATATCAACACTTTTTATTCCAATCATTTTACTATCGTATTACCGGGTTTTTTCTTCCTTACGTAAGAAATCTCTGTGAACGGAAATCTTTTGTATTTGATCGACCATTTTTATTATGCTTATTTTTTCATTTCCAGGAAACAACGAAGCATGCGATAAAGAATAAAACGGCTAGTGCCTATGTCAACGTAGCTACCCTGACCACTTGCCTTAGCTGGGGTCTTCAGGCCATGGCACCATTTACACCATTCGTTGCCTCCGAGCTCTTGCAACACTTGCCGCTCAATGTTGAAGTCAAACTGTCCCACTACCAAGACTCTAAACTGGAGGCTGAAGTTTCGGATATCGTACAGCTGTGCCAAAACGTGCGTCAAGTGAAGTCACGCAATCAGATCAGCAAGAAGCACGATCCCAAGCTCTATCTCTTTGCACAAAACACCGAAGCCGAAGGCATTTTGCGTCGCCATTTGCCGCAAGTGCAAATTCTCACCCGCTGCACAGGAGTCGAGCTGGAATTGCTGAATGAGGACTCAAAATTCTCGAAGAAAATCAATTTCTTTTCGACGGCCGGTGCGCTCTGCTCCTTCGGCATTACCATGAACAATGAATTTGATGCGTCGCAAGAGAAACAAGAGCTAATGCTACTGGCAAACAACAAGAAGTTGAAGAAATTGGTTACAGAGTTACGTAACTACCGCATGCGTGTGGATAACGAGGCATTTCAGCTGATGGCGGACAAGGAGACTCAGACACATTTTCAAAACAAAGTAAGTTGCAAACTCGGGAGAACATTTAGCTTTAAATATTCTGAACGTTCACTTTTTGATGAGTAGAATGTTCAGCTCAGTCGGAACTGTTTCACCCATGAACAGATCCAAAATTATACCACGAAAAGGCATAAATAGTAGCTGATCACTTACTCCAATTTATCTTTCTTTGTGTTTGCAGATTAAAGAACTGGAAGCAGAAATTGAGAATCTGAAACACCTGGCAGCGTAAACCTGTGATGCTAATGCCCGCTACTTGTTTATAAATTGAAACTAAAAGTGTGCATATTGTTTGTTTTTTTGTTATATATGTATAATAGACCAAGTCTTCAATTAGTTCGTAAACCATTAAGTAACATAAATTTAAATCACCGGACACGCAACTTGCGAGAATGACAAGTAGAAGCCACGATTCGATATGTCTGCATCCTCATTTCCATCCGTTACCGCGTACAGCACAAAAGGTTTCGTAAAGCTTGTCGTTGCCGAAAAGCCGAGACCGCAAAATCGATCGCCTGCCAGGGCGACGCCTCCCTGCAGCGGATTTGGAATAATTATGAAGTCTGTAGTGCAATCCTGACTTTGGACTGCAGCTGTGGCAAGTAGTGAGGGATCTATAGCGCCCACATCGTTGGTCATAGTGAACGAGTATGTATCGGAGCTCACTTGACTCCAGGATATTGAGCACATGCCGGCGCCCATGCGTACGCATATCCCATAGGCTAAATTAGCCAATTGTCTCGTGCCCGGTACTCCGATCGTGTTTAATGAAGAAGATGCAGCCGAGGCGTAGTTAAAACTGGCCACAGTTCCAGAGCTGGACAAATGATATTGCAAGCACCCTGATGGTGCTAATGTAGATGAGGCGCATGCCAGCATCCGCAACTGGAACTGCCAAATGCGATTAAATACATAGCTAGATGATGTGGCCACCGTTATGGTAATCGGGGTAACACCATTGAAGTCCACGTAGACATGCTGGCCAGCATTTTCGCCACAAATCGTTGGCACACGTGAAGAGCCACCCGTGATAGTCAGCGCATCGGTGTTGCATAAGCCATCACCATTGGGAGGCGCCAATGACAGGGCCATAAAATCAATCCGGAGCTGACAAATGCTCGAATCGGGTGGTGTGATTACTATTGTGCATCGCCCGCCACCGGCATAAGTTCCCGGATAATTGCTGTTGTAGAAGTATGTGTTGTTATATGTCGTGCTCGCTCCACAAGTGCGCTGATCTAAACGAAAGATATAGTAAGTAATGGTTGGAGCACAGAGAACACTTCCTACTACTTACATATGCAGCAAACGGCTTGGTTTGTTATGGTTGAGCAACTTCCGGCGGCTACACCAGTGGTATCCGTACACTCACCACTGAGGACGCATGTGCCGGTTAGCCTGTTGTTGCCTGTGCACAGAGCGTTCGAAAAGCGACCAATTGTGTAGAACGGAAACCCTGAAAAGGACCAAAAGATGAGCATAAGAAAGTTGTGGTTCAGAAGCTTTCTACACCAAGATTTTGTAATAGTGTTATACAAGTATTTATCCAATTTGAATATTTCCTTTAAGTTAAGAGAACACAAGTTGAAAGCAATAACACTTGGGAAGCAGATAAGTTTTTACAGATTGCGCATTTACTAAAAATTTAAATATCTATTGAAAAATATATATACATTTTAGCTCGAAAGAAAAATAACAAATTCAGAGATCTTTCAGATGCAGTGAAAAACCAAATTAGCGAATCTTAAATTAATTTCGTGTGGCTATGATTTGATCTCAATGACTAGAATAGCTGGAAATACGAAACGCTCGGAAAGAGTTTCTCAAACTTCGAAATTAAATAAAGTTTATTTCTGATTTAAGTTAGGCGATCGATATTATTTTTCACATATTCGTTTGACGAATCCAATTTATGAAGGTTATATTGTTGAAATGTAATGGGGACACTATATCCTTTTCAACATACATATATTTATAGGTATGCTAATTATATGTATTTGGAAAATCTTACCATCGATTAGCCGGTCGATTCATAAATCAAAGTTATTTTCTATGTGCTACACTTCCACATTATTTTAAAGTTTTGAAAACAAATTTAACTAACAGGCCGAATTAAAACTTCCCCAGCCGATATGCTATGGTTACGGGCCTTTTTTAAGCCAACATAAAATACATTTTATTTAAAGCGACCTAATTTCTCCAAAGGTATATTCCCTTTTCAAATATGGCAAAGAAATTTTCCTGTGAACATTGAGTTCTAAGCTTTCCATACAATTTCCTCAATGAACACTTCCCCCAGCTTCAAACACAACTAGTGCCAAGCGCTTAAAACTAAAGAACCATCCACGACCTGCGCTCTGGGTGATAATTGAAGTTTGACCCAAATAGTACAACGACGACGATGGAGACAACACAAATCGCAGCACTAGCTCACCACTCAAACACGCGATACATGAAACAACACGGCGCCAACGACAATAATACAAAATTCTTAAGAACGACAATATCAACAAAACGACAAAAGTATCAATAGTGGCTCTCGCTACTTACAACGGGGATGTCTTGAGTTCGATCTGCCGCCTTCCAGCTCTGTTTCCGTTAAAAAGTGAGATTGGGGCTCAACACTGTGATGACTGGAATTCTCAGCAGCCAGTTGCATTAGGCTGCTGGCGCGTGCCGCATTGTAAATGCCGACGATATAACTACTGTAGAATATAACGACAATGGCGAAGATGCGCGCGGAATGTGCGGCCATGGCTTAGAACTAAAATTCACTTTTGGTTTTAACTCGAAACCGTCGAAACAACCGAAGAGTAAGAGCACCACGTCCGAGTGCGCGCCAGTTACAATTGAGACTGCGCTGAGATGGGGCCAGCTTACAGCTCACCTATCCAAACTGCGCATAGTCAGAACGCAGGTGCTAATTGGGCTACAGCGACGCCGGCGCGATGCAGCTGCTCAGCCAGCGCCGACGACTGTAAATCGTGTGGAGTTTATTTCGGCAATGAATATTTAGATCAAGCACGCACATTGAGAAGCGGTTGTGGCTTCCCAATGCGGGACAGTGCTACTATTGGCATTAAGTATTACTTTATTTTGATCAATTCATTAAAAGATCAGCGAGCAAACATCGAGGAAAGTGAAAGATATGAAATACGAAATTCACTTACTCGATCTACATACATATATGTAGCTTGATTCGGCGGAGGCCATTAATTTGGCACGAACACGACGCAGACGCCGTCAAAACGGCGCATATCCCATGATGGTAGAAAGTACACTGCTACGCTACGCTAACTATACAAACATATTGACTTATGCAAATAGGCTCAAGTTGGATTTGCCGCTCAATTTGATTTTCTTTGTAGACAACACGCGCATGTGTGATCAATCACTAGTCACAGTTTCAATCATGCCAGTAGATGCCACAGATGTGGGCGTGATGTAATGCGTGTAACGGTAAAGCGAGCAAAGTGCAATCTATGCCGGCAGCTCGACGCAGGCAGCACGCACGACAATAATTAGCGCACGCTCACTAATCGAGAAATGTACTACTACTAATTAAAGTTTAAACTCAATTTGAAGGTAAAAGTGGCAGGCGCGCTGTGATTGTTTTCAATTTTTAGTTCAGGCGTGAAGTATTTAGGGCGACATCTTAATAGAAAGTTGCAACAATGTGTGAGATATTAACAGTTACAAGAACGCGCGCGCGTTCATTTATGATGTTACTAACTGCAAAAGAGAGTGTGAGATACACTTTTCTTTCAATAAAATTATGTCTCACGTTTTTTTTTTTTATTATTATTACCATTGCTAAACATAACTAGCAGCTAGCCTATTCAATTTCAATGACAGCGCCCGCCTTGGCTAAAGCCTCTTTCAGCTTCTCAGCCTCCTCTTTGGGTATGTCTTCTTTGACTATGGTGGGTGCACTTTCCACAAACTTCTTGGCCTGCACCAGGTTCATGCCTTCGAGCAAATTCTTCACCTCCTTGATAAGCGCTACCTTTTGCTTCTCATCGAACTTTACTAGCTTTACTTTAAACGATGTTTGTACTTTCTTTGGTGCTGCCTCCTCTTCGTCATCGGCTGCGGCTGCACGTCCAGCGGGTCCTGAGGCAACTTGTGGCACAAATGCAGTATCCGGTAAATTGAGCTTTTGTTTCAGGAGCGTACTCAGCTTCGCCACCTCAAGCAGATTTAGCGCAGCTATGTTGTTTACAATGCTGTCCAATTTAGGATTTGGAGGTTTAGTCGTGCTCTCTGGCACCGGCGGTACCATCTTATCAGCGGGTATGGAGGAGGCTGCAGGCACGGCAGAGCTGTACATGCGGTGACAATAGCGGCTTGTCATTTGACGAAGAACGAAGCGTGTGATTTGCATTTTTTTGGTTTCTGCAGTTAAAGAAGAATTAATTTAGTTAAAAATTAAACAAATAATAAGTATATTAACTGAGTTATTACGTTTTTTCGATGAAAATAAACTTTTTTGTAACCGCAGAAGGTTATGTGAGCAACAGCGATGGCAGTTTGAGAACAACCGATAGCCTAACAGCTGTTCAAAGTAGTGTAATCGAGTAGTCGAATATTAAGTAATTTCCGAATTGCGACATGCAAACTCGTCAAGAAACAACAAAATTGTGTATTTTTGAATAAAATCTAATATAATAAAATCAATAAAATTTATTTGTTAATAATTGTGCACATTTAAGCGCATTGGATCAATGCCCGTTAAGATATCACACAGCAAACGGCCCAGCTGGCAACTCAATCAGCTGTGCTTTTGCTGTCGACCCATGTAGTTTGGCAACCGTTTTGTGCTTTCAGTTGTTGTCGTCCGTCGTCGTGTGCTCGTAGTTGTTTGGCTAGGGAAATTTTTAAAAAATTAACAACAAAACAAAACCCAAAAATATGAATATATATTAGTGAAAAAGTAAGACCAAACACAACTTTTGCTAGTGGGGGAAAACATTGGGCACGCGTATATATATTTTGAGGGTTCGCTTTTTATAACAAATAAAACGCACACAAAATCAACAAAGCCAACTAACGAAAGCTGCAAAACGGACCAAGAAATCTCGCGGCGGGAGTGAAAAGTTTTCGTGTTAGCTGCTTCTAGAACAATAAAATCAGCCAGGCTCGCGGCCAACAAAAATAACACATGTAAATTGCAAGTCTACAACGCTATTGTAATTGTAAGTAATGTTTTATGTAATTCAATTTTCTTGTGTTTTCTATGCCTATCCCTTTGACTGTTCTGCACAGCCACTCTGGCAACCGCCGGCTGTAACTTTGATACTGTACGGTCGCTTTTGCATTGTAGTGCTGTAGTTTTGAATTTTGTTTATACATATGTAAGTTTACATACATGAAATAGTTACAAAACCTTTACTTTTTTACTGTGAAACAATCGATTGCATGTAACAAATGTATCGAGCTATCGACTAGCTTAGTGCAGCTTACACGGCAACTCTGCGCCGCTGCAGTGCAGCAGCTGTCAAAGCTGTTGTTGTTGTGTTTTTGTCTGCCTGTCTGTTTGTCAGAAAAGCACGAAATACCGCACGAAAGCAAAACAAGCGAAATGATTGATTTTTCGTCGCTAGTGCATCTGTGTGTGAGCTCGAATCTCGAGTCGGAAAAGTAGGCGACGAAAACACAATCATAAGTAGAAGCTCATAGGCCGTGCTGCTGCTATACAAAATTTTTAGTATCATAGTCGTCGCGCTGCTGAGCGGACGTGTTCGGATCAGCTAAAATTGAATAAATAAATTTTGGAAGTGGGATAAAAATTCTAGTGTAAATAGTTTGGTTTATATCACAAAATTCCTAGTCTAACTAAAATTTCGTTTAACCTTTGTGCGTGTGTTGTCTCTACTCTACGTTCTCATGTGTGCGTTGTGCAACTAACGGTAAAGTGTATCGTCTCATGAAAACATGCAAGTCCTTTGCGAATAGTGCGCGTAAGAATTTCTGTCGTTGGTGTTATTGCAAAAAAAAATTACGTTACACCAATACATTAAAAAAATGCCTGTGACATTACTTGCATAAAAAGAAAAAAAAAAAAAACAAAATTGCTGCCCCAGCAAAGGAATTTTCTCTGTTTCTGGTGCAAAATAAAAGTGCCATCTACGTCACAAAGTTGTGCTACGCGCACTCACTAGTGTGAGTGAGACAGCCTGTGCGTGGTTGTGGAGCACCCCCGGAAATGTAACGCACACATACGCGCGCACAGGGGCACGAAAAAGAACAACTTGCACCTGAACCAAAGTTTATGTGCGTCGGTCGCGAGTCTGCAGCCGTGAGTGAGGCGTCGTGCTGAATCGTGTCTGGTGCAACAAAAGACGACGGCAATTTCTGAAACAATAAGGTTAGTGTTTGAGATAATTTTTTGAGCAATGATTTGCAACATAATGACATTTAATGGTCAGGTTGCTGCGCAGCATTTGCCCTAATTTTCACCTCCTGGTTTGAGACACGAAAAAAAAAGTAAAGCGCTCACGAAGTAGACGTCACAGGGTTGCTTTCGCATTGTCCGCACTCGTCGTGTTCCGAATGAAAATTGGGGCAATGCTGACGACGACGAAGCTGTTGAGCAAAGCAAAGACCGTAAAATAATATAACCCCCAAATCTGCACAAATCTCAGCTTATTTTTGTGCAACCCCTTCGTTAATTCTGCACTCAAAATTTTATACGTGCCGCGTTTTGGCCCAGTTATCTAAGTTGTTTTGATAACAAAAAACACGCTTCATTTGTTAAGAGTTTATCCGAGTAAAATTTTTATATAGACGTGTCCATTAACCGTTGCGCTTGCTCTCACGAGTGTTACGTGCTGCTCTCTGCCACCCATAGTCAGTGACAACGCCAATGCCTTTGTATATGTGTTTTTGTATGTGTATGTGTGTGTGTGATGCTGCCACTGAGCCAAGCTGTCTGTGCTTTTGGCGGTGTTTTACACTTGTTTACTTTCGTGCAGCTGCGCGTACGTTTGTATGGCAGGAGGCGTAACTGTCATTGTTGTTATTGCTAGCGTCGACGTCAGCGTCGTCGTAATTCAAGTTTTTTGTTGTATTTTTTGGGAGGTCGCTCTCTCGTTTGTAGGGCAAAATTATGTATTGATTATGGCTTTTTGTTGTGTGCTCTCTGACTGCAATGCTACCTCGTACAATCATGATTGTTCTTGCTCTTTCTCCATCTATGAAGAATATATTCCTATTTTATTAAGAAATCATGGAATATTAAATATATAAAATGTTTGCTTTCCTCCATAGGATATATTTTGTGCATGACATTTTTAACCATTATTTGTAAGGTAATGGGATGGGGGCTCTAGGATTGCAGATTTTGTGAGAACTTTATTTATAGAGAACTTTAGACAATTTACTAGATACGATGGAGATCGCAGTACACAACGTTGTACTCAATCTTTAAAATGTGCAGTCTAATTTGTATTTTAAATGAAATCATTCGCTATTCGTACGCTACTCGTATGTAGACAAGAAGCTGCTGTCGTCTTTTCCATACATACTAATGAATGCATATCGGAGAATATTAGTTTGAATGTTAGTATGAATTTTAATCTGGCTAATATTCGCCTTGGTTCTCTTTTGAATAGTGTTACTATATAGATAGTACATACATATGTATGTACATATGTATGTGCTTTATGGCTGGAGCTTTTGTTATTGCTGCGGTCACTTTTTCATGCCTGACTGCACATTTTCATTGGCACAACCATTTTGTCGTCATTTATTGCTACAAACAAACACTATGCTATACATTTAACTAATTAACCGCCTGCCAGCAACAACGAATACGGCCCTCCCACTAATGTTTCCGGTCTAGTCAAGTGGAGTGCGTATGGACAGCGGCTAGAAATTGAATGTCTCTGTCGGTGTATTCAAATGGGGTCATATTTGAGCGGGACGTGAATGTAAGTGCTGTGTTACACATTACATTTGAGGGTTGGGGTTTGTTGGATGGGGGTGGCTTTTACAAAAATATGTAATTGGAAAAATTCTGTTGAAAAGTAGTCGCTTTTTGTTTTCGTTTGGTGGGTCATTTGGCAGCCACATTCAAATTCCGCCACTGTGTGCAAATTTAGAATGGTGCCATATTTTTCTATCGATATCTATATCTTTATTACTCATCCAAAAACAAAACAGAATATTATTATTGTTGTAGATGTTGCTACTTGTAGTATACTCTTTATCAAAATATGCAGCGCATATTAATTTGTTTATACCGTATGTAACAGAAAGCAATCAAATAGATGAGAAAACCCACGATCAACAATATATACGGTTGTATAAGCGTCGGGGCCTTAGGAGCAGCTTCAATATTTCGCATGTTTTAAGATTTTTGTATATTCTTTAAAAATGTTCACTCACCAAAGTTTTATGAGTATAATATGACGTAATAGGTAATAATACGCGCCAATTACAGGGAATTCCATAGTGTGTATGCCCCTTGTTGGGTTTTCTTGCTTGGTTTTATCAACGATGATTGATTTCATTGCCAATAGTGCTTTTGCGTGTTTGTTGTTTTTGTCGGCTGTCGGCACGCACACAAAACAGATAAAACAGCACAGAAATTTTAATGTCAGTTTATCTATAAGCTTTGCTATTGTTGGTTGTTCCGATAGGCAATTTGTGAGTGTGATGATGTGCAACGTGTGTTGATAATAAAAATTTGTACGCTCATAAAAGGAAACTAAATCAGCGTCGCGTCGTCACAGCCAATGCAATTAGCTGTTTTGATTTGTTCCCATTACAATAAGTACTGGCCAGCAGCTTTTGCAGCATTGCAAGCTCAGATTCTGGGGGGGGGGCAAAGTGGAATGACAACAATAAAGAAGCAACCACAAAGGCAGCAAAAGTATTAAGGGTTTTAAAAATAGGCGAAAATTAATGTCAAATAGTTTTCGTTGTGCAACTTTTGTTGTTGCTGTGCCGCACATTTTGTTGCTGCCCGTGTGCTTTATTTATTTTTAAACACAATTACGTGCGGCCAGCGCTTTCACACACGCTCGCACACACAAGGTTGACATTTAAAAAAAAATGTATGTACATATGTATGAATGTACATAAAAAATTCGTACATAAAAAAATGATTAACTAATCTTCCGCTTTTGTTCAACACTAAACTAAAATCCAATATCTACCCATCTCTCTTCTACATTCTCTATGTTGTGACCGGCGCATTGACTGATTGATGTCTTTGGATATATTGACGTGTGCGTGCTCCACTTTGCGTGCCGCATATCTAGGCGAAGGTGACGCCAACACAAGTGCAGCCATATAATCTTGGTGCGGGCGCCGAACAGACAACTGACAACACACACACACACACAACATACGGGCCATGGACTCGCTCAAATTACCAAAGGGTAAGCTTACAATATCAGAAAACATACTGTCGAACTTCTCTATGACGAACTCGTGTAGGGAAATAGCAAAAATAATATCTAAACCTTCAACCCGAGCACTTCTCGATTTGTTTCCTCTATGTATTGTATTGTGTGCTCTCCAAGAGTACAAGCTTAGGTCAACACATTCGAACTCGTGTAGGAAAATAGCAAAACCCAGGCAAGACCTAGATTTGTGTTCAACACATTTGAAAGCAAACAATTGTTCTTAGATGAACAAAATGAAATCCTAAAGCCTAAAGCAAGCTTCCTGCCTCTACCTAAATCGTATGGAAATCTATTTTCATTATTACAAATTTAATTCACTTCAATTTTGTAAGTAGGTAGTCATACCGAAATATTACTCATACGTCGTGCGGGTCTGTGCCATTACCGAGAATAAAGTATTAAAATTAATAACTTATTGATTTAGTTTTAAAAATCTCTGCATGTATGTATATAATTTTCCCATTTATTCTTTTTTTATTATTATTCGTAAGGTAAACTTCACGGGTCGATATTTTATACTTTTATCTCTTTCTCACGGCTTAAAAAACAATTTACCTAACGGAAAAAATATTCCAAGATATCACAAACCTTTGAAATTTAAGTGTGTAAATTGAATTAGTTGTAGAAAAGTTCGTTTTAAAGAAGATTTTCTGTGGTGATGATGGAAGTGTAATAAATATAAATTTCAAAATCTATTTGTCTCGTCACAGCGAACAGTGCCACCAACAGTGCCACTGGTAGTAACAGCAATCTATCGTGTCCAGTGTCCGGGGTTGCCGTTTCTGGTAACAGCGCAGCCGCATCGCCCACAACAACAAAGCCACCTCCAGGCATGAGCAGCACTCCAATAGCCGTGCGCTTCAACGCCAACGAGGAGTCATTGGATGACATACTGCAATCGTTCCATCAGAACAAGCACAGTCCAAGCGGCGGGATCGTCATGGGTGGAGGCGGCGGTGGCGGCGATGCATCGCCTACATTGCTGGGGAGCGCAAATTGTATGAAGAATAACGGTAGCATGGCCGCATCATTGGGCCTCAATGCACACGGAATGGGTGGCATGGGTGGCCCCGGCAATGCATGTGATTCGCTATCGAGCAGTCCTTCGCAGCACCAACAGCTTCAGCACCATCAGCAGCAACAACAGCAGCATCAGCAACAGCAGGCAGCCGCGCTTTTCGGTGTAAGTATTACATAACGTTATTTAACAAAGGACATTTCCGAATATTTAATGTTTGGAAGAACTTGTTTCTGGAGCACGTGTCGGTTTATTGGCAGCAGCTCATATTTATACGCAATCTGATTTATTTGGCAATGTGTTGTTTATTACCTGAATTATAAACTTTCCGCACGCGTGTCTCTCTCGAAATCGTCCGTCAATTGCCAATTAGCGATTGTTGTCTTTCAAATTAGTGACACATTTGTATTTGTTTGGTTTGCTTGGCTCCGATGCTGATGCTGGGCAGCAACATCGTCTGTCTGTCTATCGCTGCGTTAACTTGGGGCCATGGTTTCACTTTTTATCTTGCCAGAATTTATTTTTGTCGCCGTCTTTTAAGTTGTTTTTATCGCGCGAATAATATTTATGTAATAGAGCGCGTGTGTGAGTGCCTCATTCAATTTGAATTTGATTTCGTTTGAATGCCAAATATTTGCCCGTTGCATCTGTTTGTTGTTTGTTGGCAACGATGCGCGCGCGCTTCAATAAAATAATGCCAAGATTTGCAACAGATGTGCTGATTTGATTGCAAAATATCTGACTAAAATATGCATTACTCATTGTGTAAATAAATGCTTTATTTTTTGCTCTCGCTCTCTTCTCTTTTTTTCAAGCAAAACGAGGATGTAGTGCGCAATAATTTTCTGCCAAGCGGCTTCTTCAATCGCAAAAGGTAAGTCATTTCAAACTATTATTGTAAAATATAAGCTATGTACAATATTTTAGTACATATCCTCTAGCACATACATATTAATATTGCTGTTGTTATTGCTGTTGCTACACACACATAAACATACACATATACTATATACATAAATTGATGGCTTTTAAGCAATATCTTTCTTGAATTAGACGACAGTCGTTTATGGGAAATGCATATGCATATAATATTAGTTATGCTAACTTGATTCTTTATTATGAATCAAAGCCAAAACGAGCCGATCTGTCAATGCTAAAAAGCTTAGGATTGGTATTTAGTATTTCTGAATTTTTTAGAAAATTCAGTTAGCTTTTATAATATAATGTTCCCCAATATATTTAAAGGGTAATCAAGTAAATATCTTTGTCAATAGGCCAGCTTTTGAAGCCGCTTTGGCCCTTGTCCGTTGGCTATTCATGGTCAAGAGAATCAAATATATTACGATTTTATGAATCGCCCATCGAAAATTGATTTACTACACTTATATAGATTTCAAAAATAAGAGAGCAACTATCAAAATATATACACTAATCTTTTTAATGCGATATGTTCTTTGCCTTACTTAAGGTTGACCTAGATATATTTTTAAAATAATACTATAGAACCTCCTGGTCCAGTGGGATTTTGACTTTGCGACTCACAACCGCAACAATCAGGCGATTTGATTAAAAATATCGGTCTATTTATTTATTTCAAACAATGCAGTCGATATAAAATTACAATTAAAATTACAATTATATATATTTATACATAAAAAAAATCAATACAATAGAGAACTTAGACTAAATAAAACTCAAGAAATAAAAAAGCCTATAAAAACTACAAAAATATCTAATAACGAATCCGAATTTTATTTGCCAGCAGAGAGAAGTCAGATTAGACCTATCAAGAAAGAAGTGGAGATGAATAAATATAGCAATAAAAGATAGAAGAAAACAAATTAAAATTAAAATACTTAATAAGTGATAAAATATAATAAAAATTAAAGGTGACCCGTTGGGGTCAAATTTATTTATTTATTGTATATATACTGAAAGATTCCAGTATTGAATATTCCATTTTCCCTCTGTTCACATTTTTGTTTGTATAAAAACGGTGCATAGTCTGGTAAGAAGTATTGAATGAGCAGTTTATGGATTTACGAAAATTAACCAAATAGAAATTATATTAATACTCGATGGTATTAGGATTTCGCACGATTCGTAAGTAGCAGCATTAAGAGTGCAACACCCCATCTGCCCTTTTTTATGGCGAAAACTTCTGCGCCTTTTGCCTCGTTCCAATTCCGCTTCAATTTCAACTGTTGCTTTAAATTCATTAGCGTTTGCATGTGCCTTTAAAAAAAAGTTCGTTGACCGGCGTCAGCGCTAAAAATAACCAAAGAATATCCTGGGCGTGCTTCTGGCCAAAGTGTGACTTTGATTTTACATCCTGCTGCCTCGTCTACTGCCATTGCCCCATTGCCTTGCCACTTCTGCAGCTACCTACTCTTTGCAGTCGATGTTGCGTACTTGTGCATTTTTAATGTATTTGCAGCAGCAGCAGCAGCAGTAAGAAAAACAACAACAGCAACAACATTTCTCAATGGCCGCCACTGTCAGGCGTCAACGTGCGATGTGGCAATAAACTTGTCGTCAACTTTAACTCTGCCACAATATCTGGCCAGGACTGTTACTTTGTTTTTGTTTTCGTCACCAACTGTAGCTGTGTGTGTATGTGTGTGTGGTTCATGTGTTTGGTGGTTGTGTGTGTGTGTGTGTCTGGAGTGCACTAGCTGCAGAGGTGGCTCTTTGTTTATGTTCGGATTTGTTGTTATTTTCCCTCCTAAATTTTATGCACGTCTGCAACTTTTTTATTCAAGTGCCTAGGCTAGGCAGCCAAGCCTGTCTACGTCTGAGTGTGTTGTTGTTGTTGTGGTTGTTGCTGTTGTTACTGTGTGGGTGGTTGGTGTTGGTTTTCATTTGTCGGCGACTACATTTTCCAGAGGGTACACGCATTGACGTCCTCTCATACATTTGTTTGTTTCTTCTTTTGCGATATAAGTTTCCCCATATCCCGCTGCTACTCCTGAAAGATAGTGTAAGGATTTCCCTAAAGAGATAATCTCTTAAATCATTTGCAAAGTGTCCTATATTAGCCAGACTTTGTTCTTTGAGAATCAACGATATTCTTCTTTTGTGATATAAGTTTCCCCATATCCCGCTGGTACTCCTGATAGATAGTGTAAAGATTTCCCTAAGAAGATAATCTCTTAAATCATTTGCAGAGTGTCCTATATTAGCCAGTCTTTGTTCTTGGAGAATCAACGATATTCGTCTTTTGTTGATGTTTTTGTTAAAAACAAAAAAATATTTACAATCCATTGTGCAAAAAGATTTTGCAATATTTCAGATGCGAATTGGTAAAAATGTTACTTTTAAAACCGCAAAGAAAAATTAATTTTATTGTTAATATAAATAGCAGTGACGCAAACACAGGAGTTCTTTTAAATTAACTTTCCTTAATATTTAATATAATAGTTGTTTAAATTTTGGGAATGATAAATCGGATTATTTGCATCTCAAAAATGTATAAATTTAAAAATGCATGTGTTTGCTTTAAACGTATAAAATAAAACCTAGAAATAAAACGCGTATATTTTTTGATTGAACTTCTCCACCGCATATCTGTTCTATAAAGAGTGCAGTATTTTCCAAATACGATGATTAACAAAAGTTTTCCTAATATTTACTTTTAAAGTACACGTTAAAGTAGTGAACTGTTATCCCCCCTTTCTGTCTGATAGTAGTAGAAATAATATGGTAATGTTTCGCCCCACACAACTGCGCTCACTCTTATTGATTTCATCCAAGTGCTTCCTAATTTTCCTTTAAAGCCCATTTACTGTCGGATTTTATATTAGTGGGCCACCGTCGGTGCCAGTCACGTCAATCAGGCATTGCTAACTCAACTATTTTTACCTAATTCTTTTCCATGTGACTACACTTGTGGGTTTGCTCTGCAGTGACGATACAATTCCAACTGCCTGGCTAGCTGACTGACTGACTGACAATTTCCAATTTATTTCCGGCTTATGCGAAAACATTTTTAAATTAACTTTCTGAGCTAATTGCGTTCTGTAATTGAATTGGGAGAGACGTTTTCCTGGTTATCGTTCGTTCGCATGCCTCGTGTCATCATCTTTCGTACACACATATACATACATATGTATAGTATGTATGTATGTATTAAGATATATTTTTCTGGTAGGTGGTTGCGTCGACTCGTTGCCACCACCTTCACCTGTAAAGTCTACTTTTTTTTATCAACCCGTGTCGGCTCAGCACGCAGCCAGACGACAACTTCATACCACGAGCCGCCTTGCAGACATAGCATCTCCAACCTCTGCCCCGCCACACCATCCACCATTCAAATCTCTTCGCAGCTGTAACATCAGACAACATTGTCGTCTTTTTTTCTTGTTATTATCTATATACACTTGTACACGTTTCTACATGTTTGTTATACATTCCGTCATCATCGTTGTCGTCATTATCATCGTCATCGTCAGCACAACGGCAGCGATAGCAGCAGCAGGAATCCATTCTGCCACCCACGACATACCAGACTCTTCTCCTCCTTTAATTCCCCCCTCCGCTGTTGCCCTCGGCAACGTCGCGCCATTTTAAATTAAAAATTTCCATGCAATTTCATGTCTGGTTGCTGCTGCTTTTGCTGCTTGACTTGCGGCCTTACAGTTTGACATTCACTGTGTTTTGTCAATCAATTAACATAAGCATGTTAGCTCTGTGCTGTAGCAACAACAATATTCACAACAGCAATATATGTATCATTGAACTACTTTATAATAACAATACCAAAAAATGATAGAATATCTATGTAAAGTGTGTACACTTCTATTAGCAATTAACCCTTTGTCGCCCAGGTGCGCGGACACAGTTCAGTCAAAATTTCATATATTTTGTTATCTTGAAAAACTAACACTAACTCTACAGTAAAGTATTGTAAGGTTAGTTATTATGCAAACAAACATTTGTTATTCTGGGCCGTCTTCTTTTTACAGCAGACTTTCTTTAAAAACTAACAATATACCATAATATAACAAAACAAAAAAATTATACTAAACGTCTCTCATGCTTGTCCGTAAATTCATGGAACTATACAAAGTTGTGCATTTTTCCCAGTGCCTAAGTGTTAAAAATCGAAATCGCAACTATCCCAGTGCATCTAAAACTAACAATAGTGCTGAAAAAACTGCTGAGATCAAACGCCTGCCAAATGCCCAGCGCATCTTAAACACTATCTCTCACATACATATGTATATATTGTATAATTGGATGTCGTTTGGTTGCACCCTCAACCACAACCACCAGCACCACCACAACATTCACCAATACCAATACCAACAACTACAACAACCACCACCACCACCAACAACAACAACAGCAACAACATTTCAAATCGCAACAGAAAACAATACCAAATCCTCCTACACTTACAACTAAAACCAAACCATTGCTGCAGCAACAACAACAGCAACAACCACAACAAGGCTAAAAACGACGTTAAGATATCAAAGTTTCATAAAGGAGCAATTTCGCCATAGAATTTTCTCTTCAATTTCTTCGATAGTAAAAAAGATAGTAGATGAAATTCTATATGTACAAGTATAGCTAAAAATTAACGCTTAACTTCCAAATTTATTTTTCTCAATCGAAAAACACAATTCAACTTTAAAGTAGACCGCGTATGAGAACAAGTTAAATGTTTATACAGAAAGAGAACTGAGAAATTTTCAAATCGAGTTTTGATTATTTTCTGTACGATTTATATTCTGTATTCTGTGGCGCTTTTTAAAGCATATTTCATGTGTCTGTGTGGGTGTTCGTGTGTGTGTATGTTAATCAATCAAAATAATTTAAATAAAACTCACGGCCAGTGTAACAAATATGTTTGTATAGCTTAGTTCTCACCAATATCAATATTTTAAGATCAAGCAATATACAAATTTGTAATTTGCACTCCAGAGCAAGTAACAACAACTAAATAAATAAATTCATTTTCCGTTTTTAAACTTGCATTTTGTTTGTTAAACTTGTTTAATATGTTCTTCTGTTTTTTGAAAAGAAACGAACTGTGCTCCACCAATGTTGGGCGCGCTTTAAAAGTATACACACATACATAATATAGATCCTTAAATGTCTCCCAAAACTCCATTTGAAGCAAGTAGTTCTCTATGACAAAATTGCTCCTTATATAACGAAAAAATCAACATCTTATGAATATATAATTGAATTGTTTTATAAATCGAAACCACTATACCTAAAAAAAAAAACACAAACGAAAAAAATGAACACCTAAAATCAAATTAAATGAATTAGTAATCGCTACAAAAGCATATTCCATCTCTGTACCTTCCTGCAGTTGTGGCGGACTGCCGCCGAATCTAAATCTCAACAAGCCGCCGCCGCAGCAGCTACAACAACAACAACAACAACAACAGCAACAGTTATCCCCCAATCTGAGCGCCCTACACCAGCAACAGCGTGACGGCGGCGGGCCACACAGCCCCTCATCTCCAGGAGGTGGTGGCTCTCCATATAATGGCTCACAGGCGGGTTGCAGCAGTGGTGGCATATCACCCATACCCCAAATGTCCGGTGTATCGCCCAAGTACAGACGCAGCATATCGTTTCCCGTCAAGGGTAACTCCCCCACTGCTATGTATGGTGGAGTCTGTGGCGGTGGACCAACGCATATGGATGCCATGGGAATCGGAGGTGGTGGTGGAGGGCCACACATGAACATACCCACGCTCTCGATTGGCAACGGTGGCGCTAACATTATGGGAACGGCAGGTGCCACTGGTGGTGGTGACGCACCCTATTTAGGATCCAATTATGGAAATATGATGGGCGGCGGTGGTGGCGGTGGCAGTGGTGCATTAAACGGACAAATGCATCATGGTGGCGCCGGAATGGGCGGAATGGACAACACACTGTGTGATTACATGCGCGGCATGTCGCTGGGAGGAGGTGGTGGCGGTGACAATATGGTTGGCATGATGGGAGATCGCATGCGCGGCGGAATGGGTGGTAACCCTGTTGGCGGCTCCAAGCACCTGAGCGAAGTTGATGCCATGGCCATTGCAGCCGGCAATGATCCTTCATTATATTTGAATGCGCTCAAGATGGGATCACCATCGCGTCTGTCGCCGCACTCACCACACTCGCCTATTCAAGGTGGCAATGGAGGAGGCGCAGGCGATGGTACAGCCCGATTCTCACGCAAGGTTTTTGTTGGTGGTTTGCCGCCGGACATCGATGAGGATGAGATCACAACCTCGTTTCGACGTTTCGGACCTCTGGTTGTGGATTGGCCCCATAAAGCCGAATCGAAATCATATTTTCCACCCAAGGGCTATGCGTTTTTGCTGTTCCAGGACGAGAGCAGTGTCCAGCAGCTAATTGACTCCTGCATAACCGACGAGGACAAGCTATATCTATGTGTGTCGTCACCAACGATCAAGGACAAGGCCGTCCAGATACGCCCCTGGCGTCTAGCCGATGCGGACTATGTGCTGGATGCGACAATGTCGCTAGATCCGCGCAAAACCGTCTTTGTGGGCGGCGTGCCTCGACCTCTGAAAGCGTTCGAGCTAGCCATGATCATGGATCGTTTGTATGGCGGTGTGTGCTATGCTGGCATTGACACAGATCCCGAACTCAAGTATCCCAAGGGGGCCGGACGCGTTGCCTTCTCCAATCAGCAGAGCTATATAGCGGCCATATCGGCGCGATTTGTCCAACTGCAGCATGGTGACATCGATAAGCGTGTTGAGGTCAAGCCCTATGTCCTGGACGATCAAATGTGCGATGAGTGCGAGGGTCAGCGATGTGGCGGTAAGTTTGCGCCTTTTTTCTGCGCCAACGTGACCTGCTTACAGTACTATTGTGAGCATTGTTGGGCCGTGATCCATTCGCGGCCTGGACGCGAATATCACAAGCCGCTGGTGAAGGAGGGCGCCGATCGGCCGCGTGCGGTGCCTTTTCGCTGGTGTTAACGGCGGCGCTGGTAGGCCGCGCTGCACGACGAAAGACGCCAACAGAGAGAAGAACGACATCGGTTATTAGACGCAGCGCTGGCAGTGCCCAAAATTACAACAACACAGGCGGATAAGGAGTCGGAGAGCGAAGTGATCGTGGCCTATCACAATGGCGGCGGCGGACGACGAGCACAGAAGAAACGAGAATAGTAGAGCGATAAGACATATTGACGCGAAAGACAAAAAGACACACGCCGGCAAGTAGAAGAGAGACAACACGACGATGCTGGGATGGACAACAATAACAGCAAACAACACCAAGGTGCAATATAGCGTCTCGGGATCAGTTTAGGTTATACATGTATGTATGTACTAGGAACGAAACCTAACTGAGCCCCAGGCCTACATAAAGCTAAGAGAGTCTAGAGCCACTGAGGCGAATGTTCTTGTACCACTCGCCCACAAAAAGCTAAATAGGTTTAGTTAATTTATTTCGGAATCTGAGTTTTCTTTTAGGAAAATCGCCTGCACAGTATTTATTTTTGTACTTTTGTTAACACTTATTTTGATAGTTGATTTATAATTCAATCTCTCTATAGTTATTGCCATTTATTACACACGAGAGAACACCAAATATTTGTAGTAACCAAAAATCCTCGCAACACATAATTTAACACACTTGGCCAATACCAAGCATAAGATTGAAAATGAGCAGCGGACAACCTTTTCAATTGAGAGTGTGCTGCTATATATATGTATATAGAGTAGAACTTCCCTAATGTTCCTATTTGCAGAATAGGTGAAAATGTAACAGACACCAAATTTTTATTTAAACAAAACATAATTTGATAATTTAGCTTAACTAACTAACACAAATAGGAATAATGATTGATGATATATACTATTTAGTGCCGCATTGCCTGCGTTTCTGCATAACGTTCTTTTTTCCCGCAGAGGAAAAAAGGACGTTATATACACATAATACGACAATTGCTTGTTTATTCACCCGTAGTTGCACCACACCTCTGGTAATATATATTGACTAGGAGAGTGCCATTTCAAATCAGAGATAAACTCAAAATGTAATGATTTGGTTTGATTTGAATCAAATCCTCTTTCCACACAATGGAATATTCAATTTCCATATAATGATTAAGTAATTTTCGCTACTCAAATCGTATATGTTTCTTTATTCGCGCTCTGTGTAATAAACGTATACGATTTCTGCAAGATATCCTATGATATCCTCCAGTTGTTAAGACACAACACTACACATGAGAATCGGACCGTGTGAAAATCGTACGAGCAAACAAAAAAACACATTCGATTTGAAAAGAGGAACCTCTCAAATCGATCCCACCTCTCTGTACACGAACTGCCAACATGCATGCCTATTACACCTAATTACTTCTCAACATAGAATAAACAAATCAGCTAAAATAATGGACTACTCAAAGCTATTTAGCCCCTTGATTATGGCTCCACTGAACGGAGCCCGCAACATTTTTCTAAAACACTGTATAATTTGATTAACACATTGACGTACGACTTGGCCAAGATACGGCCAGAGGTGCATCGATAGGCACCGCCTCTAAGTGTTCTACTTTTGAGTGAACACATGACCGACCCGACCCGACCGACCCTTTTGGTTAAATAGGCACTGAATATGTCCTTTGCGACATTCAGTGCAGCTGCATAAAAACATATATATAATAATATATATCTACTACGCATTTGATTATTTTATATCGAACGACGAATTAATAAGAAAACTAACAGTTGATTATTATAAGCTTGTTGCTGGCTTCAAAATCGAAAAATGGAAAATTTTCGAAAAATTCGATTAAGAAACTGCAATTAAACAAACACACACACACACACAGAGTCCTCAATTGATATTTATCATAAGAGGACTGAATATTTCACCATTGAGTGACCTTTAATAATGGGTTTAATGACCCATCCCCAACACTAAGATATTTATATAAATATATATTAGAAATATAAAGAAATATTCTTCTATTGCTTGTCGTCCAAAGACTATTATTAATTGTTCAGACTAAAAAGTGCTATACTAATACATAATATGCAATAATTTATTGCGCATGCCTGGCAGTTCTACGTGACAGCGAGGTTAATTTTGAAACAATTTACACTACGATTTTCACGTGCTCCTCCTCTAATAATGTTGTTATTTGAATCGAGTGAAGCCCAACTTCCACTTTAGACCATATTTTATGTTAACGATTAGACGATTTAGACTAGATTGCACACTCTACGAAATGGCGGCGGTCGTCTGCGAAGAGTGCAGGCGTTGAACGGCTCATTTTTAATTTTATATACACTTTAGGAAACATACAAGTAAATGTATATGTTTCTCACACACCGCTCAATGCGGGCGGAATTGAACACGAAATACCAATCAAATAAAAATATAATTATACACATATACTTGTACAATGTGCACACCGAAGTCACACCATATACACTATAAATGTATAAACACTGATCATTATTTGTTGTTCAATACACACGAAAGGCATTTGCGTTGAAATAAAAATATGTTATGTTATTGTTTAAAATATGCGAAATTCAAACTGCTTGTGTTCAGTATTAATATTAAAAAGGTTATTATTTATATATGTATGTATGTCACACTGTTTGTTTGTTTGTTTGTTTTTTTTAGCAACCATTAATTTGTTGTTTTAAAACCTATAGCGGCGGCATATACAAAAAAAAAAGAAGTGAAGCAAAAGTCAAATTGCTGGGCGTGTTGCAATAAAAAAGAAAAACACTTGCATGTAATTTGTGAAACAAAAGTAAAATAATTATACAATTTTTTTATATATGGCAAAAGTAATTCTATACTTAAATATTAGACTACTTTTTATATAGCAATTTTTGTATAAACTGTTTGTTTTTTTATTCAACAACAAATTTATAATTAGTTTAGCCCCAAGTACTACATGATGGAAACCAAAAGCAAATTAATAGAAGAAACACAATGCATATAGAAATAAACATATAAATGAAAAACGTAACTTATGTGCAGAACTATTATATGAATAATTCAAAGTATAAACAAACATATAAATATATCAATTATAATTGCGGTTTAAACATACATATGGTACATAAGTAGTGGAAGCAAAATAACCGAATTAGCTTAAAAAGACGAACACACACAGATCCAAGAGCTGTACCTCTGCTGATTTTTGCCAATTTTAGTCATGTATTTACTAATGTATTTATTTTAATGTTAGTAGTGTTATTATTTCTGCTAAACGAACAGCTGTGTAACGAATTGAAATAACTCCGAGTTGCGTTCGTCTCCTCCCTTCTTATATCCTTGCAAAGGGATTTTAAAACTTTTGCTAGATATACTGATGTACTGCAAACGAAATCCATAATTCTATGCGCAAATCAAGATTGGCAAGCAGCTACTTAATAGCGGAACCACCATATCAAATAGTTGTTCTAGAAACGAATTGTTGAAAGAAACTTTCCATGAATATAGTATAGTGAATTATATTTGAATTGAAGTTTTATTATAAAGTTGCAAGGGTATATAACATACAATAAGCTTCGGCGAGCTGAAGATAAAGTTTTATTTCCAGTTTTCCATTGATAATTGCAGCTAATGGTCATAAGAAATGTTGTCTCTCATTTCAAGAAGCCACAACACTAAAATATAAATCTATATATTCAAATGATATCGAAGCAAAAATAAAGGACAGTGTTAAAATTTGCATGTTAAAAAAGCAGTTGGCAAAATCTATACAATATTTTTTCTATGCTACATAAAAATACAACAAAAGAAGTAAGCAACACTATTAAAATTGAATTGTACATGTGAGTTTGTACTTTTAAAAATATATAAATATATTATATATATATATATATATATATATATATATATAACATAGTCAAATCTATTAGCAAATTTTTGCTCGTGCTTTGTTTAAAAATGAAAATAAGTAATTGATTCGAATTGCAATTTAAATTGTACTCTTGGCAGTCGTAAAGTAATATTAATAAAAAGAAAACAAAAAGAAAAACTTAATAGCAATTTTTCTAGAATTTTTATATTACATTTAAATACGAAATACAAAAAATAACAATACAGCGTAAACTCTCTATACATGCATAAATATGTGTACATATAAAAATATACTATATACTAAATATATATTTTTTAAACTGCATAAACAATTTAGAGGACTTAAAGCGTTCGTTTGTTTTTTAAAACTATTATTGATTATTTGTATTATTGAAACAAACAAAAAAAAAAAAGAATCTGTATAACAAAAAAGAAAAAATACGAAAACAAGGCACAATGTTGTCTGCAAATATTTAAGTAAATGCGTTGGCGTTATTTGTGCTAGATATTGAAGGAAATGAAATGCTAGTCTTTGGAAGGGCATCACAATACGGCTTGAGACAAACTGATGATAAGAAGCAAAAGAAAATCAAGTAACGATAACAATGATGATGTTTTAAATGTAGTGAAATTTGATATTTTATAGATTTTTATACTTTTATATCAATATATACTTTATACCTTAACTGTTTAACAAAGAAACCGAAAAACAAAACTCTGTAAAAAACATAAACATGCAAATATTTTAATATGCTACAAGTTGTATTACAAAATCTTATCAAATACAAATATTTTACTACATAACGACAGACAAGTAAGAACTTCAACAAATTTAAGCAAACGCTCAATGTTTTTGCAAAACACTGGAATCTTGTGTAGCGTGCTAAACTAAAATTAAGCGTTAGTTGTTTCTTCGTTAGTACCCCAAACAAAACAAAACAAAAACGACAAAAAAAATTAGTCAAAGACAATTGTTTTCTGTAATAAAATTATACTTTCTATTTGTTGAAACTATTAAGCCTAGCAAGCAGCAGTTGAAAATATAAATACCTTCGAGAGAAATCGAGAGAATTTCAGAATAAGAAGAACTTATGGAAATCTACATTCAAAATTTCCTAGTCCACATAACAGCTCCTCCCAATATATTGGTCCTCTTGATACTCGTATTTAGTGTTTGGTATTATCCATTCTTTTTGTGTTTTCCCTGAACCCGAGTGCTAGGCTTAATGTAATGTATCTATTTTTGTTTAAATGAAACTTTTGTTATAATTATGTAGAATATTGAATATTTATTTGCACTGTTCTATTTACAAAAATTTATATGAATATAGTGTTGTATTTTTTATGCCTTAATCATATATGTACATGTACATGTGTATTTAATATATATTTTTATATGTTTTGTAGCTGGTAGTTTCTTGTAGCTTTAACAAATTGCGTTGAGACATTTTTATACTTCGTTTTTTATATATATACATATATGAATAAAAAAGAATTATATATAAACTACTTACATATGTGTCATATATTTGATATATACAATTTATACAGAACTTTTGCCAGCAATAAATGGGGCGTAATGTAAACTGTGTTTTATTTTTATTTGATCACTATAGGTTTTTTTTATATAAATATGTATGTATCTATAACTTGTATGGACTTTTTGATAAACGTTGTAAATACTTTTTAATTAGTTGCAATACATAAACTGTTAGCAATGGAAAGGAAAACCAAAATGAAAACTGAGTACATTTAATTACATACTTAAACGATACGAAAGACTCTATTCAAAAGTATTGGAATTCGAACTTAATTATTACAAAATTAAATTAAATAATGCTAAATATCTAAATAAATTAATAACAAACATTGGTCAATATGTGTTTTTGATACCAACAAATTATATGAAATTTACATGTAGTACAATTGATGAAATTTTTAAAACGTAATATTATGTATGTATGTACTATATAGTATATGTATTTTTACCGACGAAACGAAAAAAACAAAAACACAAAAAAACAAAAACCCAAAAACCAAACCTGGCTCGAAACTTGAAAATTTGCTTCAAATAATTGCTAATAATACATAGAATATGAATAATACACTAAATGAATTAACCAGCGTAGAGCAGCACTCTGCAAAATCCCTAAGTCGTATTTTGTTACTCAAGAAAATTGGCATCAGTGGCCACGCGAAAAGACGTTAAAGGTATTAGCCATTTTAGTTTGGTGAAAGGAAAGCGAATTATAAGCGAATTAAATTATTTTTTGAGTATTTTCATAGCACAATTTTTGTACAGTGTAGGTTTTTGTAGTTAGTCAAAAAAGAAACTTAAATGAAATCTCCGCATTGAAGATGAAACAAAAACAAAAACAAAAAAACAAAAAGTGAATAGAAAACCAAAACGCGCTGTTTTAAATAGAAAATTCTTAAACTGAAACCCTTATATACACGAAGTTGACTTTCAATTTTATGCTGATTGGATAAAACGTAAACATGAAACCGAAAGAAAGAAAACAAAAAATGACAAGGTTATAAAATTTGGTACCTTTTAAATGAGAAACAAAAGAAAACAATTAAAGGATTTTATATAAACAAATTAATTGAGAAAATGTAGCCTGTAAAGCGAGTCTAAATCACCCGCACTTCCATTATAATTTTTTTACGTGTACTAACTAGTACTAGATAAAACGATGTATTATATTTAGTACTTCAAATAAACTGAAATTGAGCGCCCTTACTAATAAATTCCTTTTAGCAAAATATTCAGAAACAAGCAAATGAATATAATTTTTTAGCATTATACAAAAAACCATAAATAAAACCTAAACGCAACCTAAATGGTATAACAGGAAGCGAGTTGACATACAGAATATGAAAACCAAATAATACTATATACATACATATATGTAGTATATATGTATATATAAACACGTATTAAATATATAGCGTATGAGAAACTAGCAAAATATTCCATATTTTATAGTAATTTTCGATAAACGTAATTTTTTTAATTTGTACAAACATAAAAGTTGAAAAAGAAACAAAAACGAACAAGATTTGTAGTTTTCTAAAACGAAACCAAATAGAAATCCAAGCAGCAACTTTAAAATCACAACAAAAACCAAAACCGAATAAAATCAAGTAATAGATATCCATGCGTGTTTTTTCTCCAAATGTTAAAATGCGATCAATTCAAATGACCGATACGATTAAATGTTGAAATGGAAAAAATGATATTAAATATAATATAAAATATGGATGCTAAAGGCAATAGAACGAACATAATACCGAATTCAAGAATACTTATATACAAAAAAAAAAATATACATACATAGACCCATACACACATATAGTACATACAAACGTACATTGTAAGTACTTTGTATTTATGCATTGGTGTGATTGGAACTCCAATGAAAAGTAAATCCAAAACTGTAATAGAGAACTTAAATATCAGCAATACTTCAAAATGCAACAAATACAACACTCCAATACGAATGAATTAAATAAACAATGTGTATGTAAAGCTATAATGAAACAATAATATATACACACAAACACACACCCCACACACACACACACACACACACACACAAATACATATAATCCGAAACAATTTTCTAAAGCGCCAATATATGTATGAATTATCAAGACGGGTCTCTGCTGCGACCAGCTTGAAGTGGCAGCGTTCTGCGAGACGTAACGAAAAAT